CAATAAAAAGAAAGGGAAATGATCAGACGAGTACTACAACAGACTCATCCAATAAGTACAAATATTAGATATATGATCACTGCTTTCAAGAGAGAAAAGGCGTTTGGAGGGAAATGGACTAAAAATTTGTCTGCCAAACAGATGGGGCAGATTACCATGAAAACAAATCATACAGCACTAGGAAGCCCTGTTGCAAAGTAATTGCTACAGAATACATCAAACCTGCAGGTATTTCATTGTGCAACATCCTCAAAAAAGCTGCATCACAAACTTGATTCTGCAAATTTTGTCTTGCACCTTGGGCACAGATATATAAATGTAATGGACTCAGCTATAGCTTCTCAATGTTTCCTTCAGAGTGTACCCTGGAAGTAGTTCCATAGCCCATCCTGACATAAGAAATTTGACTATGTCCTTCATAGGATATATTAATCATAAATTACGATTAATGTGCATTTTTCATGTTCATATCCTTCAACCACACAGTGGATTAACATATCAGAACATGAGACTGACTCTTGCCAGGTGTCATATAATGCAAGTTACTGTAGATATTTACAGATACCAAGTATCTGCTCCAAGCGCCCATCTCTATAATTATAAAACTGTATCCAGCAATATCTGTCAAGAAAGTGAGCCAAAGTCCTAAAAAGTCAGCAAGTATTCCCCTAACAGGGTAACTTGCATTCTTCAGACCATTCAGCAATTTTACCTTCAATTCTGAACACATTCTAAATTGTAATCTGTTTGGAGAGATCTGCGTGTGATGAAGAAAGAGCTTGTTGCCCTTTTCAGTTTATAATGTCACCAGAAATTAAGTCTATTTAACAGATGTGGAATTCATCATTTCAGCCTCTAACTTGCATTAGAAAGTCACCTTTTTGATAACTGATCCCACTGTGTGTTGTTCACACTGCAAGTATCAAAGTAATCCACATTAAAACAAGTTTTCTTCAAACAAAAAAAAATAAGCATTTTCCCTATATTATATCTAAAGAACCAAGTCTCCTAAAATTACATTTCTATGCAGTTTATCTAAGTAAAATCCTCACAAGCAAAATAAATTGAAATAAAAATTAGTTGCACTTTAAAACCCACATCTTCACCCAGTCATCACACATTGACAAGAATATTGTTTCCCTAAGTTCCATAAAAATAAGGTGGACATATGTTACCCTGCTTGTAACTGAAAATATTCCAGTAACATATAAACTGACTGACTAAACTAATGTTGGTGTTCCAAATCAATTTCCCTTACACAAATTTACAATACAAGAATTCATTAAGACAAGGAGGAAACAGGTTTGCTGTGTGGAATAATATTTATCTAGAGGCTTTGACCAAGATAACTTATCCTCAAATTCCAATAGCAAATTAGCTCCTTTCTCCTACTTCTCTGCATTTCATTTACATATATACCAGGCCCTTTCATAATAATCATAACAATTCCCTCAGCTTACTGAAATAAACATTAATTCAAAATAAATACATCAACATGCAGATCCTCAAACTGAACAGGGGAAAGAACAAAAACTACTGCACATCAATTCCCCCACACTTACAAATTTCCATATTTGTCAAACTGTGATTAGTCATGAAACTGAACTAAAAATAAAAATTTTAGAGTTTCATAACAAATCAGGAGGCAATTCCAAAAAAGCACTAGTGCATTTTCCAGGCAAATGAGAACACTTGTTACCTGTTTTTTCAGCATTCCCTCTTTTTTTCCTTTTCTAATACAAGCAAACACTACCAGAAAAAAAAGGACTTGATCCTACTCTCATTTATAATAGTTTTAGAAAACTTTGCCAATTGTTTTCAGTGGAGGCACTTCAGCAGCATCACAGTCCCATGGCACATGTCTGGTTCAGCTGCACTCGGATTTTGATTCAAGTTAGGGACAAAGTGAAGCTTTTGGGATCTACAGTAGGGAGAAAGCAAGACTCAATTCCATACCTAAAGATTCATTCAGCTTAAGGAAGCTCCATGACAGTCATCAACATGTCAAACTCATAATTTTTTTCTGTGTCTTGTGATCACTTTTTTTAGTTTAACAAATTTGAAAGAAATAGTGGTAGGATGTAGGCAGATCTCCACCTGGAGTTGGACAGCTCCGCTGAAATCAGTGGATTAGATCCTCCAATTAACATAAATCTCCCTGGGACCACTGCAGTTACTCACAAGCCCAGCAGTTGGAATAAAATCATATACTGCTCTTAAAATCCATGGTGTTACTTTGATTTAAAGTCACTAAAGAAATGCTGCCATGTTATATGCTAAATAAAATAGGAAAATTGGACAGATTTGTATGAAATTTCTGGGAGGGGAGCTACAGGACTTTATTTTTTTTAAAAAATGCCTGAAACTGCTGTATCTGTTTGAAATACAAGGTGGGCTTGATTTTGACTCTGTCTTTTTCCCAGGCTCAAGGACCATTGAAGTGATGGGGTTTTTTTGCCTAAAACTGTCTCAGAAGTCAGTGCATAACACAAAGCTCTTCACTTCTCTGGAAAGAGAAGAAAGCATGATTGGTGCTCAGGTTATTAATTAGTTAATAGTTGTCACTTTTCTACTCTGACAATTAAAGTGGGGAAACATCTCTTCTTTACAATAGTCAGTCTCTACTTGGTTCATTTTTCCACAACAGCGAGGTTTGTGTATACACATTTACTGTAATAATGTCAAAGTTCAGTCATACGCAGAGTTTATTAGATTTTGTTTTATTCTTTCCCTTGAATTATTCATTGAATATCTATAATTTCCCCAAGAATAATTTCATAAAGTGCTGCAGCAATAAAACTTTCCATGTATAGCACACCAATGTGAATGGTATTTATGATGTACTCAAAGAAAAATCAGCCTGTTACATTAATCATGTAAAACTATTGAAAAATTACATTTAATCATTTCTATTTCAAAAAAAAACCTGCTCAGAGATTTAAAACCTGTGAGAAACCTAGAATTAAATTTCATACAACATTGCCTGCAATAATATATATAATTATTCAATACTTCCAGGTTTGTCTGGTGTTCAGTAATCCCTCATCTCATTTTCTCTGAATTGTAAATTGCATTTAATCTTTTATTCAGTACTTTTTGCTTAGAACGTTCCAGCTTTAACAAGGAGAAACAGCAAGATAGATAAAGCCCTGTTGTTTGGTCAAGACCCAACAGTGAGATGTCTCCTTCCTCAAAGCCAGCTCTGACTTAGGGCACCAGGGCACAGCTTCCAGCACCTTCTCTGCTTATCCCAGGCCCTGTGGCTGGAAGCAGCACCCTCCAGCACTTGTGCTGGCAGCCCAGGGCAGGACACAGCAGCTTTTTACAGAGTAACACAAATTTCCTGTGGGTTACTGTCCATTCAGCAACTGGATGAAGGAAGCAAAGTGTGGCCCACTAGAGATTATCACGAGACATGTGGTGACACTGGGATTATAAATTGCTTTAGTAATATTGATAAACTCTTTTGAATGCCACCTAGATAGAAGATGAATTTTTCCCTATGTTTGACTTCTGAGAGCATTGAATCACACTGTAATTCAGTTTGATCTACCTGACAATTAAACCTTCCAGGCTTTCCTATGCTCTGCCTGTACAAAGTCAAGAGAAAGTCAAGTCTGAGGACAAAACCTGCTCTTCATTAGGCCAAAAAGCAGAGGCTCTGCCTTGTGTTCCTGGCAGGCTCGTGTGCACTGCAAGCCAAATCATGCTGACATCTTTCAGATGTTTGAGAAGCTAAATAGGGTGTACTAAGATGCTGAGTATGTGGCATATGAAATCAAATAAAAAATGAGTATGCGTGATTCCTAATGAACCAGAATATATTGTCATAGAGCTTTACCTTTGTCAGGACTGTGGGAACATTCCATAAAGTCAATTCTTCAAAAGCTGGTATCTATAAATACACAATCATGTGCTTAATTAGAAAATAAATCTATGGAAACAATAAAGCCTTTATGAGCTCTAAAAAGTGAAATATGTGTATAGAATATATAAGCCTATATATAGCTGAAAATTTTCAGAATTTTATGGTCTGTACTAAGGAAGGAAAGAATAAACAATTGATATAATATTAAGAACCTCAGCTTCAACTTTGAACATTAATAACATTATTTGACATAGTTCAGCCTCCTGTATATGAGCCACCCTGTAGCGCTTCAGCTGATTCTGATTCTCTTTGTGCAGAAACCTTTTAACTAATCATTTTCATCTCTGTGTGTCAATAAATCTTGCATCTCTAGGGCAATGACTTTTACTCAGCAAATGTTAAGCAGAAATAAAACCGCCCAGAACAGTCTAAGCATGAGAATTTCAATAAGAATTTAGCAATATATTGATCCACTTCTCCCCCTTCTGACTTTTCATTACTATGTCACTTTCAGCTCCTGAATTCAATAAGATAAAAAGCTCAAATAGCATGTGACTTACAGACTTTAGCCAACCCTACTAAAATTATTTTAAATGGCTTCTTCACTAATAGTAAACTCAAAAAATGGTCAATAATCTCTTCTTGAGGGGGAGAGTTGACAGCCACAGGCTACAAGAGACTGACTTCATCTAGAGATAGTGTAAAATGTAGGAATTAGAAATTAAAAAATTAATATCTGCAATAGTAGGAAAAAAATGAATGTAATAAAAAGTCATGTTTCTATGGATTTCTAAATGTAACATATCATATGTCCTACATTTCCTCTTCCTTGGAAGCCAGTTGACTAAGTATCTGTATTTTGCATTGTTTCTTAAATCAAGTAAAATTAAGTTAAAGTAACTCCTATATAATTATTTATAATAATCTACCACCTAAAAGCCACTTGGTTGTGTCAAACCACACTTCCTGCACACCAGATGAACTCTTCAGCCCTAATCCCTGAGTGTGGTAACCAGTGATGAGTGCCAAACCTGAAGTCCACAATACAGATAATTGTCTGGCTCCATGGTCACCATGACAACTGAGGAACATCCATCAATGTTTAGACATTTACTCCTGTGGCAGCCTGTGAGAGGCTGAGGCACCGATCAGGGAATGGATGTGCCAACAGGAATGGGAAAATCCGCATGCACACAACACTGTGCTCCCATCAACACCCGGGGAGTGTGGCTGAATTAATGTACAGCTGCATTAACAGTGACTGCCAGAGGAATTAAAGTCTATACTGCATAGTGCCACAGAAAGAGATGCTAAAAATTTTTAAATTATGTTCACTGATAAAAACAAGTAATAGAATTATAAGTTACTTTGAATCATTGCCTTAGGATCACAAACTTCACAGAAGTCAGCACACTTCTAGCTTCTTTTTTCTTTTTTCTATTTCTCAACATTAAAATAAGTCACATTATCCAATTATACAGGAAGCATTTAAGAAAATAACTCTTCTATTTAAAAAAAAATAAAAAATAAAAAATTAAACATTTTTATCTAGGTAAGTTTGTGAAGTTTGGGCCTCAAGACACATCCACATCACTGAAGAGCTGCATCTGACAATGTAACAGAAATACTGGAGGCAGAAGTTTTCAGCAGGCTTTGCAGAAAGGCTTTCCCAGACAGCAACTGATAACCTATAAATTCAGGTAAGATCTAACACAATCAGTGTGACTGACCATTCTTTATTAAAAAGAGCCACAGAAAAACTTCACAGAGATGGTGAGTTCTGGGACATGATCTCTTTTCTTTCAGTTTTTAAGCAGATCCATCAGAGTGATGTCATGATCTTAAATTTATACCTCAACATGTTTTTCCCGAAAACATTGAAAAAATGGCTATGAAAAAAAGGAATTTGGCCATTAAATGGAGTACGTAATCTAAAATGTAGGAAAACATAAATAATCCAAACCAAAAGGCAAAATTGGCAACATTGTTACTAAACTTCTGAAGTAAAACTTACAATGCTCTTAGTGTCCTGTATGTTTTGTGACAGTGGTATCATTCTGTTTCCCAAAGGACAGAGGACACATAGTTACCTGAAGTTTCCCAGAATACACCAGAATGAAGTTTTACACAGCAAAGCAGCCGTGGGAAAAATTATGTTGGGCTATCACAGATGATTTTTGTCAGCAATGTGTCAGTTTAAATTAAGCTGCATTGAGAATTGTTTTGGAAAGTGCATTGATTTATATCCTGAGATGAAAACAAAATGTGGAATTCAGAACATCCCAGAAACTGAAATTACAAGTTTGTATCAGCTCCATTCTGGATAAAAAATGCTAGTTGAGCACTGACTGAAGCCTGCTCACAACATCATGATAAACCTAAGCTTCAGTAACACAAAGCAATCAGGGTTTGGGTGCTGCAGCCAACCAAAAGGTTTCCAATCCAACTTCATCATGGTAAATTGATCTCATCTTCTCCAGCATCACTTTCAGCATCCCAGTGTTGATCCCGTTTGTCCTCACACATAATATTCTCACAGAATTCATAGCAACAGGAGCATTACATAAATATTCATAAAGGTTCCCTGGTGCATTTACTTTTGCAGCACTTCATGCAAACCTGTGTATTATTTCACTGATTTCAGTAGATATCTTGCCCAGAAAATATCAGGAAAGGTTTTTACTTATTCGAGGCAGAAATGAGAAAACGGGCTTGAGTTGCTCCACTTGTGTTTAAATATGAACACGACCATATTTTCCTTCTTCTTTGACATGAGATTTCAACTTCACTTTTCGTAACAATGGAAATGTCACGAAGAAACAAACAGATTCTGACATCCCAATTTTTTTTATAATACAGGTGATACAGTGCCAATTATATTACAAGAGGAGTACAAGAGAACATTTAATGTGGTCCTCTCAAATAAAACTCACCTCAAGCTTCTGAGCAAAAAACCTGAAATATTTTGAAAGATCACACTGCAAATTCATAAACTTTACCATAATAAAAATCCAAATAATCTGAAGTCTGATACAGAGTCTTTCACAGATTGCTCACATAGCATTCTCACATAACAAAGGGAAATTATGTAATTAGTTGTGACAATGGGCTTCTTAAAAGTGCAAATTTAGCTGTAGCATCAGTGAACTTTATTAGCTGCAGTTCAGATGCAAAAGCTACAAAGCCTCCTTGTTCACTCACTGTATGTGTCCCTTCTGAGACTGGGGAAAAGAACAATCTAATTAGAAATAATCCTCCCAAGAACAAATATCAAGGAAGAAAATCTAGAAGAAAGTGGCTTTTTTTCCCCACTTGCCACATGAGTCCATTGATCATGATGTGGATTGCAGTCTTATCTCAAGCAAAGATGCATTAGGCCATTTCACAACTAATTGGTTATTACATCTTTTAAAAATATTGTGATATTTTCTAAACATAATGGGACCTGCAAAAAACCTGCTGATTGTTATAAAACCCAAAAAGGACGCAGAGGCAATGCACAGAATACATTTAACACTAAGTAAACAGAGCTACAGAGAAGAAACAAGCTTTGCTTTATGTAATATTATTGTCTGAACTTTAACTCTTGTAATGGGAAATAAAATGGTTTTTATGAGGTTCCAGTCCCTCCAATTACTCGGTAATGATGACTTAACAGCAAAGTTTGAAAGTAAACCAAATTTTTAAGAGAGCCAGAATCCTGGGTCTTTGGAGATTATCACTGGAGATCAAAGTCAGTAACAAATATCCAGAACCGAGCAGAGAATGTCAGGGTTGTTTTCTTAGTTCATAGAAGCTTCTGAGTTTTATATGGTCTCCCTGCTAATTAAGATTCAATATAAGAGTTAGATGTGATCTTTGGTGTCTTCTACACCTGAATAATATTTTCTGACATTTAAGTCAAGCTAAATCTGAGTGTTTTAGTGACAGTAATGAACTGTGTACTCAGAACTGTATTAAAAAGAGGTTTCCCAGGTTGGGTTTCTTAAGTTTAGTTTGCAAATGGGGAGGTAGCAGCACACTAAGTTCTTTTTAAGACTATCCCATGAGTTGTTACAATATTTCAAGATTAAGACAAAAATTGAGTGTATCTATGTAAAGTAAAATGTAAAACCTTGTGAAATCTGTTTTTTATTTCCTATTGTACTACACCACAGTGTTTCTACAAGTAGTACCAAAAGAAAAAAAAGAAAAAAAAGAAAAAGAAAAAAAAGGCTTTTTTACGACTGAAAGGAATTTTGAGACAGAAATTCAGTCCAGCAAAAATTGCTATTTATATCAAGGCATAGCTCTTATTTCATAATATTTTCTATTTTAATCATAAAAAAAATAACATCAGTATTAGTCAGAAATAACTCAGAAAAAAAGGTGAGTGAAAGATTCTCAGATTCTGAAAAAGAGACCACTGTTTTTAAATTCTTATTTTAGACTGATACTATGAAAGAACAGAAAAAGCCATAGGTAGGAGAATGTGAAAATTAAAAACAAGCTATAATAACTCCCACATCATAGTATAAATTTTTCCAGCAAAAATATAAGCCATTAAATTGCAAACTCAGGAATAACAACTTACTCAGCAAAACTGTAGGGCTCCCTGCCAGCTCTTGAGTCATCACAGAGTGTTGGTGCCACATGTTTCTCACAGCAGCTGAAATTCCATCAGACTCTGCAGTATAGCAGGTAGGAAATTATCACAATCAAAGGAAAAAGTCAAGTATACACAGGTAGTGATATGGATTTAGACTGGTCTAACTATGACCATAACTGCTCATTAACAGTTCAAACCAGCAGAATGAAAACTAATCAAAAAAAATGGGAACATGCCATTTCCTGAGATGCCAAATTTTTTGTATTGGAAAGGATCAAATTATTTTTGATCTGACTATTTTATTCCTAGGCAAGATCACTAAAATCAGAAAAATTAGGCATATGCTAAAGAAAAGTAGATTGTTAAGTGCCACCTATAGAACAGATTTCTCAGACTGCAGCAGATAACAAAGATGTCCTTGCCAGCTTGCATGATTCACAAAGATTAGATTTTTGTATTGGTGGTCTTCTAAAAAGAGAAAAAAATATAACATTCTAAATTAATCTTTGACATTTTTTTTTTTAAATGTATATTGTAACATTTAAAAGGTTTTTAAGTTACAACAGGGAGAGACCTACTAGAAAATAAAAAGGATAACACCTAGATTTTCAATTTAATAACAGAAGTTCCTGCCCTGTAATACAACTGAGATATAATTTCCCACGGTGAGAATTGGTCCCTCTTCCAATTACATGTTTTCATCTTTGCACTGACTCTGCCACTCACTTGACTTCTAGTGAGTTTGTTCAACTCTCCAACTAAGCAGAAAAATACTGAGGGTTTGGTGTGGGGGGCCGTGTTTGTGTTGGTTGGTTGGTTGGTTGGTTGGTTGGTGGGTTGGTTGGTTGGTTGGTTGGTTGGTTGGTGGGTTGGTTGGTGGGTTGGTTGGTTGGTTGGTTGGTTGGTGGGTTGGTTGGTTGGTTGGTTGGTTGGTGGGTTGGTTGGTTGGTTGGTTGGTTGGTTGGTTGGTTGGTGGGTTAGTGGGTTGGTTGGTGGGTTGGTTGGTTGGTTGGTTGGTGGGTTAGTGGGTTGGTTGGTGGGTTGGTTGGTTGGTTGGTTGGTGGGTTAGTGGGTTGGTGGGTTGGGTGGTTGGTTGGGGTTTTTTGTGGTAGGGTTCTTTTTTGGAGGGCAGTGGTTTTCTGCTCATTTATTCAGATTTAGCTGAATCAGCTCATGGTAAGTGTCAGATGAGTTCCTGAGCCAAGGGAAGAAGATGAAGGCAGGAATGTGTTGATGACAAACAAGCAGAAAAACAAAGTTATGTCCTTTCGGAAGTTGTGAGCTCTTGGTCTGGCTCAGACATAATGCAAGACTCAATACCAAAGATAACATCTATTACTCTGTGCAGGAAAATATCTGAGATTTTTTTTGTTTCTTACGATTTGTTATAAGCCCCAGTTCAATCTCTTTTTCCTATGGTCCCTAAAGACAATGCATATTACATTTGATTTGTCCTGAAATATAAAGGTTTTCTGGAATTTTAAATTAAAGTAACAACACACTTAACAACTATTATCATGAAGAAAGCTCCTACCCTAAGGAAACATCTCAAAGCAAATTCTTACCAGCTTCCTGTGGCTTCTGTCCTGTTCATGAGTATAAAAGTTACTTAATAGAGATTTGGTTCTCATGTAAATTATTGACTGCAGAGATTGAATTTATTAGCAAGATCTAAAATCACTTTGGTTTTTTTTCCTTCTCAAAAAGCAGGGATCATATCTTTAGTTAATGCCAGCCAAATTCCTCTTCGTAAAGTGACATAAATTTTGCTTAAGACAGCAATGTGATCATGATACCGTCACCTCTGCCCACTTAGGAAACACAAAGGAGGAAGATAAATACAAAAGACACAATTGAAGATTAAGGTCTAAAGTTCAGATCTAGGCACTACCTTGGAACTATCACAAAACTGGTTTAAATAAATTTCAGAGATACTTCAGGCATAAAGCAAATATCTCCCTTTGGACTCTGTGCTCAGTGCCTCTCAAAGCTGCTCTAAAAGTAAAACTTTACATAATGAGTCATCGTGGTTTAACCCCAGCTGGCAAGTAAGCACCATGGAGCTGCTCACTCCCCCAGCAGAGGGAAATCAAACAACTGACTGTTCTGATTCTGATCTAAAATTGAATTTGAAAAGAAGTTTACTTAATTAGGACTCTCTACAGAATGTCACAGTCAAATGAAAAGAGATCTGTATCGGCAATTATTTTGGAAAAGTTAACTTGCACCTAGATCCATAGTTGCATTATTTTTTGTATCTGCACTTGCCAGAGGCTAGCCTGAAAAAGCTGGATTTATGATAAAATAGTGGCTATGCCTATATTAGGAATCAAACTGATTTTTTCTTTAATTGGTTTTTATAAAATATGAGCACAATGGTGAGAAATCATAAGTCAGACATAGAAGGGGAAAAATAGAACTTTTCTGTTATCCTACAGTCTTAAAATAGTTCAAAATATTCTCTCACATTCTGTTTATTCAGGACAAAATTTTGCTCTTTCATTCCCTCCATATTTCTTAATCTGGGATCCATCTTTTATACATAATTTCTCAAGCAGTTATGGATTTTGCAGCTCAGTCTCCACAAAAAACAAATAACAGAAATACTTTACTTTCAAAGACACATAATGAGCTGAAGTTAGAAGCCTGTGGCAAATTTAGTTGGTTTTGGTTAATGAAAATTTATAGCTTTCACTGTCAAACATTTTCTCTACAACCAGACATAAAAGTAACTTTAACTGGAAGCACTCCAATTCAACAGCAGCACTTTGCAATATTTTTTTTTAAACAGTAGCATTAAATATATATCTACTTACCCAAACCACATTAGCTGTGGTTGTGCCAGACATGATACATGCATTTAGTAATACAATGAGAAGTCCTTGCTCTAAGCAGCCTGCAGCCTACATAGAGAAAATTAAGGAAGATAGTGAACCATTCTGTAGAAAGAATACTAAGGCAAAGTTTGGAATCATAAAGAATGTGTCATAACATAAATAAACTACCCCAGACCTGGGAATTGAACAAACATCTAAGTTTCCCTGCAGCGTCTCAGCCATAAAGCTTCTCCTTATGAGTAAAAAGCAGTATCACTTAATAGTAACTGTGAAGTTTTTTAATCAAGCAGATTTTCTCTTACATATAAACTTAAGATTTTCTCCAAAAATCAAAGTCAACTGTTTTTCTGACACCATGCAACACCTCAATGACTTTTCAATTTGCAACTAAAATACAACCAATGTAACTGCCTTTAAATCCCATTTACTCATCTTCTTCCACAGCATCTCCAGAATTTCTCCTTTACCTGAAAGTGGTGGTGGATTTTTAAGAAACAAAACACCAATAGTATGACTGAGGTCTTGGGAGGGGATGCCTGACTGGCAAGAGCCAGCATAACTGGAATTTCTGGGGATGTACCCAAAATTTCAGCCTGTCGTAAGAGTTCCAAGATAGCAGCAGTCTGGGCCATTATATTGGCTCACCAATATAATACAGTGACAGAAAAGATCTTTTCCTTCTGTGTTTACAGACTGCATATGGCAACCCTGACACAGGTAAAGAGCAAAGCAGGGCCTCAGGATTATGTGACAGTTCCTTGGGTGACCTCCTGCCCTCAACAATTATAAAGCATTGACTCAGGGGAGATCAATACCAACATATCCTGGCAGTACTGGATACTGGGAGCTTATGAATTCTGACAAGATCACAGCCTGAAGTGATAATTGGCAGAGAATGATGGGATTTTTTTATTGCTCTTATTGTACTTAAGGAACAAACATATTTGCTTTATGTTTATTGGAAAAGCAACAAAACTCTTCAACTTGAGCCTTTATTAATACATTTGGGCTTCATATTTTTCCTTCCTCACTTCAGTCAATAGAGCCATTTTCAGATGAGGGTTTGGGGGTTTTTTTGCTTTTTAAAGGAGGTCCTGAAAATGTTGCTATAGTTACTAATAATAACACTATTTCCAATACTAACTGTTACTAATACTAAAACAATTTCCAACAGCAGTCAGGGCAATGAGTAAAATCTTCTGAAATTATTAGACCAAAGAGGAAAAGGAGAGATGGCAAGACACTGTATCTTAACAGTGGGATGCCAATTACCACTCTCTGTTAACAAAACACAGCCATCTACCAGAGGTGTCTTTGCCTCCCCACATGCACAAAGTGGCAATTCAATTAGAGGTCTCCTTCTTTCACGCTGCTAGAAATTTTTAAACAAGTTTCATCTAAAAAGTTTAATGATCTCCACTTTATTTCATTGAAGCCATCATTACACTTCTTTGTTGCCACCCAAGTTATTATAAATTATGGCTCTTTCACAACTCTGTAACTTTCATCTTTGTGTGCTTTTAAGGTTCACCCCTAAGAAGGAGGTCTGCTGTAGAAAAAGGAATTATCTTGATTAAGTGAGATAGTTTAAAGAGATCTGTATTATATCAGGTGAGATGTCAATAGAAATTTGCCCTTCTAACAATATGCACTTCTAACAATACCACCTGTAGCACACTAAATGCAATTGGCATTATTAGACCCTTCTATTTTTTTTTTTCCTAGCTGAAAATTTTGTCATGGTTCCTTGGTTGATCTGTTTCTCAGTATTTGAGGAAGGAAGTTACATCTGCCTAAATGACAATATCATCAGCATTCAAGGTTAATGTGGCAGTCACAAACAGTATAAACTGAGGAACTAAACAGAAAAAAATTGAAAGAATGATAATTTGGTGGTTTCTGGGGAGGTTCTGCTGTTGCACGTACAAGCCTTCAGTCTATACCCACATCTTGTTTTCTATATATTCTCTTTATCTAAAGATGACTCCTTCAGATACAACTCCTAATCACAAAGTCCCTGATCCATTGGTTGCTAGAAGCTTTTGGGATTTGCCAAAGCAGTGATTCCTCTTTCTATTTCTGGTCCTTTTTTTCCCCCATGCTGGTACGATGCCAGGAGTCCCTATGATTGAGAAAAGATAGAAAGAAGGATATTTAAGATAAAACACTCCAGTAGTAACTCTGTCATCTGTTTTGCTAATCTGCCATGTGGAGTGTCTGTGAAGAACTCAGGGCAGGCAGAAAACTGGGGGTTTAACAGGACATCCATATAGGAAGTGATTCTTCCAATACACAATTTGGAAAATATGAGCTGTTTTGTTGCATTAAGTCAGCAAAAGAACTGTTCACTTCTGTTGTATTAGTTTTCTGCCGACTCGATGCACTGAAATTGCTCAGCAAGCAATGGCCAAGGGACCAGAGGAAGAGTTTGGCCAGAGGCAAGAGGTGACAAGGAGGTGGCCATCAGGCAGATACCCTTGGGATGCTACAGAGCCCCAGCCTGTATTTCCTGCTGCTTTCACCTGCTGCTGGCTTGTCAGGAGCTCAGCTGGGGAGCAGGGTTATGTAGGGAAATGGGAACACACAGATGCAGGAAAAGAACAGCAGCACTCCAGTGGCCCTTTAAACTAGTTTAAACCGCTAGAGTAACTAGAGCCCTAAGTTTTTCAGTTCTGTTTCCAAAGGTGACATGTTTATATATGATTAATTCCCTCAGATGGATTAGTGAAGGTATCTCAAAGGATTTCTAGTCAGAGGTCACAAAGCAATCTCACTGTTAACATCTAACCTGCCCACTCAAGCTTCCATCAAGCATGGAAAAGCCTGATGAGAAATTAGCCTAAGCTGTAATGTGAGGGGAACTGATAACAGAGACACGGTGAAGCTCAGCTGCACCTCCATTAACCAAAAGCTCGGGTTTCCCTTTGATTCTGTCAATAACTAAGGTGTTTTTGTACATCTGTAAAACTTTTT